GCCCTCCTAGCTTGTCGGCTTCTTGTGTTCATTTTGAAGACGATTGTATTCTTCGCTTCGATGAACTGGTGGATAATGCTTTCCTTCAGTGACCCACAGCAGCAATACGTCGATACGGCGAGTCACTATGTACAGGCTATGAAGTCAACCCTCTGCACGTACTCCTGGGATCGCAGGTAGTACTACCGATGAAAATCTTCCTGGGATCGCAGGTAAAATCTTCCTTCTTCACGGCGTCGATGCGTAGAGTATTATTCTTCTGGTTATCCGGCTTCTCGAAGGACCAAACTATAAGCGTACGGTGTCGATCTGAACCACCGCCGCTATTCTCGAAATGAAACTCGGAGTGGAGTTATAATTGTTACCGTTTATTGGTCGAACGTTAGCGATGGTGACACAAAATAATACAGCGAAGCGAGCTTATAACTAACGTCCGTCCGGCACGGCTGCGTAAATCTATCTGGTCGTTATACAAATAATAGCTTAAAACTAAACCTAAAACTACCACGCTGGTCAAAGGGACCGACCGGCCCTTCCGCTACCTGCGTCCCGCCGACCGTTTCCTAGAAGAACATCTGGCTGGCAGCTTCGTTCGTCGGCTTTCTAAACTGTATTGTTCGTTGTCCGTAACCCCTATTTTTTTATTATAGTAGATAGTTATTTTAATTGAACTAAAAAAATGTTTCCTAGAAATAATATACATGGCAAAACAACGATTGCCGGGCAGCTAGTATTACTATAAAATACAAACTATATGTATTTATATATTTGTACAATATATCTTACACTGTACCACGAGCTATAGGGGCGGTTGGACTTTTGTACGCGGCTTAAATAATAAATTCGCTAAGTCATGTAAAAATCAGTAAAGAAACGAAGTGACAATAGGAAACATGGCTGTTTCAGACGGGGGCAGTTTCATAAATATTCAAAGGGACCCTGGGCGAGAACGACGCAGGTCTCCGCGGACCCTTACAATTTATCATTGTTAAATTAAAAATAAAAGTTGCCAAATATTAATGTTTTACATTTATGTTTTTCAAAGGATCATAGACCAAACAGTATTAAGTGACAGTATTAAAATATCATTAATTTGCTTACGTTACATTTAAATCGGTTGCTTTTACCGATACAAAACGACTGCTAAAAACCACTCGAAACATATATTTTTTAATACAGTTGCTCAAAAAGTGGCGTATTGCAGGGACGTATAGCGTCGGGATGTGGGCTATTACACACTCGTGCTTTTTTTTACCTTTCCCGAACTAGTGCATTTTCTTTCCCAACTGTCAAAATAATGTCTATTAAAAAGAAAAAACCAACCACGAAGTTTTTACTAAAAAAATTTCTAAAAAGAAGCTACTGCTTTGTTTCAATATAAGATTTAATGATTTGATTCAATGAGTTAGGTAAGATTTCATTTCATCTCCTTAAATTTCATTTCATATCAATAAAAAATTGTACTGAAGACTTGGCTGTATGGGCATTGATAGTTCCCTTTGCCTACCCAGATGGGTGAAGAAAAAAAAATCTGCTTATATTCTTTTACGGTTGGCGCCATTTTCCAAAAATGTTCTTTTGCGCGTTTAGTTGTTTGTTATATTATATATTAAATATACATGAAAAATCATACGAAATAAATAATAGTTTGTCTCAAACAGTAAATAAATATGCAACCTAAAACTTCTCCAGTTAGTATAAAAAACTGTACCAATGTATATGTGAACAATAATTTGTATAAGAAATAAATGATTAGTGAGTTGAGTTTATTGTTTTTTTATTATTTTATTAAATTGCATAATTTTTTCGCAACTGTATTAAAAATAGTTGTTCAGTACACGTGCGGAACCGTCATTGCAACTTGATCCGACTGTCACCCTCACCTTCGGCTGCGCCTCGGCTAGGTAGACATTTGTCGAAACTCTTTGCAATGACAGGCTTTCCGCACTTGTAATGAACATATATTTTTATAAATAAATAAATTATCCGTTAAAGTTTTATTCCGATGTCAATTTGATGAAGATTGCCTCAACCTACATTTTGAAAACAAGTTCTTTGATACGTATTAAAAAAAATGTCAAAGGCAAAGCTCAAAGCCCGCATAGGATCAAAAGATGACAGTTATATAGATTATGTAAAATTGTATATTTGCTTTGTTAAAATTACATTCAAACAGGAGCTTTTGGTAGGCTTAAAGCACTTTCTAGTTTCGCATCGGGACGTGGATTTAACGAAACCGGAGATATTATGAATTTCATTAAAATTGTAGGATTATAGTGTTTTCCTCCTGAAACAGGGAAATGTTTTGAATTATCAAGTACATATATTTTTTATTATTATATGGGAGGTATACCGAATACTATAATATTTTGTTTCTATTTGATACAGATAAAATAGTAGCCTATGATTATTTTTATGCTTATACGTTTATATAATTTCCGTCTTTGTTTGATAAATTTTATCATTGTTCTTTATTTATTTGTTTTTTAGTTATTTCGACTATGTATTTGCGTATTATTCCCACGAGAATGAAAGTGCGTGGTCTTATTTCACCATGCCTACTACTAATAGGGGACAAATTTTTGTATTTTAATTTATTTTTCTTTAATATAATTTTCTATTTATTAGTATTTTTAAATAGTTAAAGATGTCATGTGGAACATGGTGTAATGGTTGCAAGTCCTTACAAACATTTTGTTAAACAAAAAAACTTGGCGATTAAAAAGAGTGGCGGAGAGTTTATTGCCAGTTCTTCTCGTCCGTTCTACGTAGACGCCCGGCTAAAGTAAAAAATAAACGTAATTCGATTCCAAATAAATACATTACCTGTGTTTTAAAACCTAGATAGACCTAGTTTAAATTAATAGTTAGACAATTTTGGCCTATAAGTGTTTTACAATAATGATAGTTTAGCGCTGAATCGGTGACCGACTTCACTGAAACTAAACTACGAAATACTGTAATCAGTCTAATTCTACTCATGCAAGCACCTAAATTACGTAAGTTGATACGCAAATTGGTATTCAATAATGAACCAGATATCTAATATAAACCGAATTAATTACCCTGAAAATTTTTCTTAACATAAATATGTGATACCTACTAAAAAATTTCTAGTTATCAAAACTCGGAACAGTGCTTTGTAATTAACATGTGCAAGCTGAGAGCTGAATCATAAGAGGTCCTAGACACCACAATGCTAGCTTAGATTAATCGACAATACTTTTTTAGGCACTTAAAGAGGAGCTGATTTTATTTTCTGGAATGAGAAATACATGTTTTAAGTCTGCGTTTGTAAACTAAAAATAAATCATATTTTACAGCGTCTTTTGAAAGGTTTCCAAAAGAGGAGTCTCGGACTAGGGGCTGTATTTATGTTTGTGTTTTTCTCGGAAATAAAAAAATCAAGTCAAGACGATGGAGCACAGATAATATAGGCTTTGGCAGACCAATGTCGACAGATATTTGAAGTTACATTAATTTTTCTGTAATTATTTTAATGTTATCAGAACCGTGTATTTTTTTTTGTTTGAATTTCATTAATAGTATAATTAGTACACTTAATAAATTATCATTTTTGAGCAAATAAGGTAAGTTTATCTCGCAGGCAAGCCCAAAAAGTGCAAAACTACTAAACTACGATTATTATAAACAGATATAAATTTAACTTATTGCAAGATATTCAAGAATTGAATAATACAGAAAATGTAACATCGCTCCGATTCCTTTTGCATTTTGTATGAATATGGAATTTAAGCTCTTTTCAAAAGTGTATAGAAAAGGTATTTTCTGTAATCTCCAATACTTGCCTGCATTTAAGTTTATTCTAAATAAATAATTTTTCAAAACCGATTGAACGGGTTTGATGCAGAAATAATTTGTTTATCGTGTCCATTGACTTAAATGGATTTATTAATACATGTATAAGATATGTAGTACCCTACGTCGTTCATTGTTTGTTTTTTATTCAATCTAAATCATAACTAATAAAACTGTAAGTACCAACAACGTAGGAGGTAACTTAAACGCGAATATAGTTATGGATACAAACAAAAGACGACGGTAAGAGATGGGGAAATTCAATAGAAATCGAGAAAAGCTCTTCGATCCGGGTTATTGATATCAAACTCTGATTGGCCGTTGATTTGATTTGCCAATTGCATAGCCACTTAATGGATTTAGATCGAATATTCAAAGGTAAAGGAATTTTCCCTCTACTTTGCCTTGAATAAAAGAAATGCAGAGCCATTTTAAAAATGCGCTTGAATTATTTCTCAAATCCTAGACTTTTAAATTACATTTGTACTGTTTAAATTGTAATTAGTAATATTTTTTCCTTGGTACTAATTGTTTAAGCTATATAGCGTTGAACTATCAACATACTAATGTAAACGAACGTTTTAAGATTAATGACAACAGCCACTCTGTTATTAATTAACAGTTGAGAAAATTATAATGTAATGTACATACTTATGTTATTAAGTACAAAATATAAATATGCCTATTTTAATTTGAGTGTTCTAAAATTCTAAGATAAAAAAATGTGCTTGATATCTATACTGTACTTGTATCAAAGATTAATTGGTTGATATGAGTACCGATTGAGATGAAAAAAAAATGTACGAATTTCTCGATGTATGGTAAATTATCTATAATTTTTCATTCTTTCTTCTTTTAATAAATGAATAATGTAATATTCTTTGCTTGCAATCAAACAATAACAAATAGTAATGAACGAATTCCATTTTCTCAGGTGTTTTTCGCAAAATGTATATTTAAAACCTTGATTTTCACCCACATGCTCGTATAAAGTGGGAATTTATGCCCGCATTCCCGTTGCAGTACCCTTTTAAAAATTCATCACAGAAAGTTCTATTTGAAGAGAAATTAGGACACGTGGAGTATTATGTTGTGCATGCACGGAGCCCGAAGCGTGAATACCTATTTAGGGGTCGACTTTAAAGTGAATGGTTTTTGAGGTTAAAGGTATCGTACTCACAATGAGGCGCGAGGGGGCCACATCTAGACCGGGCCCGTTCGGGCGCGCCTCCGCTACCGCATCGTGCCCGCCCGAGCTACAGCCCAGAGAGCCCAGGGCGCCCAGCCGCGCGTCGCCGCGTGCAGTCCACGTATCGCGCCCAACAGTCCGACTGTCAACAATTCACAACATCACTCCATCCGTTAGATACCAGCGCGCCGTCTTACAACTCGCCGGCACGCATTCTAGCATTGTCGCATTGCAGGAGACGATACGCTCGCATAACGGCTATGAATTTTACATTTTACATTCTGGCGTGTTTGGATCGATTCGGATACTCACATTAGCATGCCAGCGTGGGGCAGTGGTATCAACTAGTAATGTAAACAATGGGCACAATCATGTTCTTTCGAGAGGTCGTGGCCGGCCCGGCGGGCAGGGCCGGCCGCAGCACCGCTGTTGCGGCGTCGCTCGGTAAATGAGAAATGGCGCGCGGGGCGCGAGCGTCGGAGGCGACACGCGCGTTTGGCACTGCAGCCCGCCACTGAGGGGCGGCCGAGACCCCCGCCCCGCACGCCGCACCTCGCGCGCCTCGCGCCATGTGCCTGGACCGAGCCTAGCAAAGGGTTGCCGATATTACAATGTACATTTTTATAAGATTTTTGAAATATATAGATAAGCTCTAACGTAAATATACTATTGCTTTCTTTCGCCTTCTATTCAAAATGCCGATCGAAATACCTTTTGTCATGGAATAAGATATTTAAATTTGAAATGAAGTACAAACTTTTAGCATTTTATTGGTGTAATTAACCTAGAATAATAGCAATAGACAACTGAGGATAATACATTTAAGTATTGTAACTACTATATAAGTATATTGTATATTCAAAATTATATTATCTAAGTCGGTCTTATTTTGAAACTTGATACAATTATTGCAAACATATATATCCTATTTTCCTGAAACCTCTAGCACAGCCCTACATTTTCAGTAGAGCTTTCGCTCGCCGAAGTAAGCCGAAGTTGCCCGAACATTGCGACTACGGTCCCGACCGAACTAGCTCGAATGACGCCGCCCAGTCGATAAGGCCGTCTCCTCTCGTTGAACAAAGACAGTAACCTATAATAATCACATTTAATTGGGGATAATCTTGCTCTATCACCAAATGAGAACATTTTACTGCAGGTTTCATAGAGAACTAATCGTGGTCTAAGTGAAAAAACCTTGTACCACGTGGGCGTTTGTTACCGCTCTATAGACACGCTACGGTGAGCACATGGTTGAGTTAAAATATTTTAACATTGAAGTCAGCAGAATTAAGACTTAATAATATGAGTAAATCAAATTTTTACTAAGATGTTTTTAATATTAGTAAAACCTTTTTTTTAGTCGAAATTCTAAAATCTTAATATATATAAATTATGTGTCACGTTGTTTGTCCGCTATGGACTCCTAAACTACCGAACCGATATCAATCAAATTTGCACACCGTGTGTAGTTTGATCCAACTTAAAAGATAGGATAGCTTACATCTCAATTTATACCCGCAATATTATTTTATTGCAAAATATTTGTTTATTATTTGATAGTCACAATAAGCTACAATTTAATGGCATAACCACCAAAAAAGCATGGTGGTCCCCATGACTGGTGTTCTCCTACCGTTTCCCTTGAATAGTTTGCTACTATGTAATATAACAAAAACCTTAGCCACAGCAACGCTTGGCCGGTCTGCTAGTAAATAAATATGGAATAATAAGTGAGTTGCACTGACCGTGTTTATAGAAAATCACATCAGCTTAGTCTAGATTTAAATCACTCTCGCATGGCTCAGTTTTCCGTGAAATGACCAAAAAACACGACGCATTCTGAAAAATATTATTTTGTATTTAAATTTATGACCTAAAATATACTTACACTCACCCGATGCGGAATTAAAAATACATCATGTGGTTAATGTTACAATTAATTGGTGTATGTATGTATGTATGTTGTATGTAAGGATTTAGGATTGTAGATGATGATATCTGATTTGTCATATACTCTTTCGACTTACCTGGTATTCGTTTACAAATTTTCATGTACAAATATATCGTAATCAATTAACGCATATTACTATTAAATACTTAACTATGTTGAAGTTTTAAGAAGAATCTTCTTTTTGATCATTTATCTTCTGCTTCCTAATCAGCGACTTATTTTTATTAATTGCGACTTATGAACCCTAGGATTAGCTTTTAAATTTTTGTTTATATTATTTATTTAGATTTTACTTTATATTAGTTATAGTTAGTGTTAAGTTAATTATTTATGCACTTCTTGTACTTTACCACTCTCTTCCACTCTATTTCTACTCTGAACAATAATATATTGTTCCATACGAGGGTTGCCTGTAAGAAATCGCTTGTTAGCGATAAGGCCGCCCGTTGCCTAATAACTTATGTAGCCTGCTTTTTTATATGTATGCATTTGTGTTGGGTAAAGAAGAGTAAATAAATATATTATAAGTTTTAAGCTAATACTCAAGTTATTACAGATATCTTGCTTTTACCTGCATTTATAGATTTATGTGTCTATATATGCAGTATCATTATGAAACTTTTATATCTTCGATCCAAATATCGATATGATAAAAACTATTTACGACACAAACGTTTCTGCCCGATATTTTATACGACTTACACACTCAGTAAGGAATACCAAAAAATAAGAAATTTGTCGTAGCAAAAATTTCGTAGCGCTACGCTTCCTGTAGCAGTGAAGTCTAAAATCTTGAATTTATGTTATGCACACCTATTGATAATCCTTTTAGCAATAAATGTCAAATAAAATCTGTATACAAAATAAACTGTAAGAATTTGTGTTTCTTATAAATCTATGACAGTTATACACATTGTTTCTTCTTTTAGGTGTTTTTAGTTTTATGTTATTCCTATGAATAATCACTGTATAAGTTATAAGTTCGTCTAGTAAAGCATAACTATAAACATATTTATTTTAAGTGCTTAGTTTAGTTAATTTGTTTTTTTTATAAAATATATAAAGTACTATTTATTTTATAAAATTATTTTCAAAACCAAGTCAAAAATATTCATGGATATCGGTTATTAATAGTGAATTTTATTCGTCCTTGTTAATCATCAACCATGTAGTTTGACCACAGGCTCGCAGATTCGCGCAAATTATTTGACATAATGATTAGCGATTCAATGTTGAGGTCAGATTAGGAATGTCATTTATATTAAATAGTGTATGTGAACAATTTCGATATTGAAATATTATCCCCGATATGTTTTACGGAATGTAAATTAATTATATTGTTCATTGACACTATTTTATAAGTAAGTTAACATTTGCAGATTGACATAAATAGCGTGTGTTGTAATTAACTTAAGGTACGTTCTTAATTGACAGAATTGACAATGTAATTGTTATGAATCTAGTGCAAACTATAGGTAATGAAAAATATACAATAAATTTTGTTATAATTTTTTTTTAGTTATAAGTTTAGTTTCAAATTATTTTAAAACCTTGTGTTGTAATAATTTATTGTTTAAGTAATAATTAATCATAGGTATGTACTTATTTCAATTCCAAACGATAAGTGCTTCAGTTATAGATTAAATAATGTTAGTTCAAACATATTAATTAATAATAATAAGCACCCATAGATAGAATTATGAGAAGGTTTACGAAGACCTAGTTCATCAATAATATATAATGATATATTATGAGTAGTATAGAACATACTATTAATAGTACTAACTTGAATTTGTTCCCTTAGTAGTAGAAACTCCTGGGCCGTGGGGTTCAAGTGTACAAGCGCTGATTAAAGATTTTAATTGGCGCCTTCTAGATAGTACCAGTGACCCCAGAGCTGGTACTTTCCTCGACGAATAAAAATCGCAATCGCAGCCAGCATATACTGCCACAGGGACCAGTTTGGTCCCTGTTTCAATATGTTTTAATTTTCTATTCATCAATTTTTAATTATTATTACTACTATGCAGGCTAAGAATATTTTAAATATTGTACAAAAATCATTATATTTTATTAAAATTATAAATAAATCTTAAAAATAATACTATAGAGAGTAATTGTATGTTTTCTTTAAATGACGAGCAAAAGAAGTGAAATAGTAAAAGCTATGTCAATAGCTATATCGCAGATTGGATTTCGTCTATAAATGCTTTTAGTTTCGATCGAGAAACTGTAATGAATGGTGACAAGTGACGAGCTCAGCTGTAATTTTATTTAGATCATTGTATGACTTCGTCGTTGTCAATCCATATTGTAAAGTGCACAGGATTTAAAACATGATTTTAAAGCTTTTGCACACAATATAACTTTTAAATTAATATGTAGTAAGTTTTTGTTACAGATCATAAAAATATTAATGTATATTTAAATAAAGCGTTTTATTTAAATTATTTAATAATAAATAATATGCGTACTTATACAGGGTGGCCAAAAAGTCGTGGATCAAACGCAAATAGGGGATAGATGAGGTCATCAGCGGCAAAAAATTGTTCTACGGGAGGTCTCTAAGGTCAACCCCTGCAGAGTTATGATTTATTTTGGTTTTTATATGAAAATTGATCTTTTTTACTAATTCTTATTAAAATTCGAAAAAATCTACATCCTGCATCTTTTTCATATTATCCACTAGATTGGTACTGATGAGTTCTTGCGTTAGACATACTATTTATAGTTGTTTATTGAGTGTATTGAAGATAATATTAAGTTATACGATATAAATTTTTTTCAAATCAAAACTTTTTGTTTATTTCGGACCCCATTGTGAAAAAAAATTACTCTACCGAAAAGTGACCCTATATAACAAGTTTTGGCGCATTTAATGTGGATTCTGAAAAGGTATTACACATGGCCATAAGTCGCTCTAATATCTTTCTAGGAGGAAAAAACAACAACGATTCGGACTAATGATAGATTATTTACCTACCTGTGACCAGTACTGTGTGAATCGGACTAGATTCAAAGAATTGGACAGATGGCTGGAAGGTTACTTAGGAATTTGTTTAGACGGTACAGATTAAGTGTTATGGTCAGAGTCAGGAATTTTGAGCATATTTTATTGAAAAATATTTTGTTTCCTACAAACAACCATTGAGAAATAATTGTTTTAATACAATTATTATTTCACAATCGTTGTTTGTAATTCTTCCTAGAAAGATATAAGAGCGACTCATGACCACGTGTAATACCTTTTCAGAATCCCTATTAAATGCGCCAAAACTTGTAGTACAGGGACACTTTTCGGTGGAGTAATTTTTTTTCACAGTGGGGTCCAAAGTAAAGAAAAATTTATGATTTGAAAAAATGTTATATCGTATCACTTAATATTATCTTGAATACACTCAATAAACAACTATAAATAGTATGTCTAACGCAAGAACTCATCAGTACCAATCTAGTGGATATTATGAGAAAGATACAGGATGTAGATATTTTCG